AATAAATGAACAAGAGTTTGTTTTTTCTTTATAAATTGAATACTTTTATTTTGATTAATACAAAAACAATAAATTTTCTAAGTCCAAAATGACTATATTAAATAATGAAGACTAGCGAGATGTGACTGTCATATCCTAGCTAGCTCCTAGCTTGTTGTTGGTGTTGGTCCGTCTAGCTCGTTGGTGTTGGTCCGTCTAGCTCGGTGGTGTTGGTCCGTCTGCTGAAGCCTATTCGAGCGACGTATTTTATAATGGTGATCCTTGGATCGTATCCCTGCCTATTATCCTACTACTTTACCATATAAGGTCATACCGTGGGCGGCCACGCGCTGCACACGCCGGATGTCCCTTGCTTATCTGGTCGTTGTCATCTCTGTTGAGGCAACACAACGCTGTTAATGTGAACTATTTTAATAATATTCATATAAGTAGTGATATATCTATTAACATATACGTTTCGAGGTCACGCGCAATAGACGCTTCGTAGGCCTCCTTCAACATATTATCGTGTTTCTCCTGTATATTTATAACTACTGGAGTGATTTACTGGAATGATTATTTATAATATTTAAACATAGTCACAGCTCGTTACACAACATTGGAAATTCACTCGATTTTTCACCTAACGATTTTCCTGTTTAGTTGTAATTCAAAAACGAATAACTGGAATATACTTGAAATTGACATCATTTATTTATTTTATTTAACTTGTTCAGAGCCATTAATAGACATTTTCAATTTTAATTTTTTTTCAGTCTTTTATTCTATAAAATATAAATGTCAATAAAATTGTATTCGTTGGGTCAAAACGCTAATTTAATACAAGGCATTGTAACAATATATCAGGAATATTGTTACAATAGCACACTAATATAGCAGTAGAATACTAGAATAATATAAAAATATAAACCCACAAATTATTTTGATAAATATTTAAAGTTCAAATTTTGACAAAATTTACAAATTATTTTATAGCTAAAATGGTATAAAATGTTAAACGTTTATAGCTAAGGATTGAATAATAAAAAAAGGTTGCGCGTAAGTAATTAATTCTGTAAGCAATAAATCTAAAACTATATGAACACGGGTTATTTTTATAGTTATTTTAAGTTCAAATGTGGACTAAAATGACATATTTAAACTGAGATTAATGATTTTAGTTCTTTTGCTGTTATTTGAAAATATTATTCAAGGGTACCGGAAACTTTCAGAGTATGTATAATAGTATTGAATTTTATGCACACTATGACATTTTCCAGTGCAATTTTTTCGACAAAAATGAATTTAACCTACTATATTAGTACTAATTGCTATGTACTGACGCCCCGCCATATACATAAATACTTGAGGTATGCAAGGGCACGCATGAGATTGTTCACATTAGACGGGCTAGAATGTCATTAAACTCGGGAAAGCGCCTTGAAAAAACTAGGATAATAATTAAAGTCATTGTGTGTGTAGTTCTGAGAACTCGACAAATGAAATTGCGTTGCGGAAGAAATACGGAGATAAAAGAACTAGAAACGTTGACACGAATTGATTATAATAAATATAATATAATATTGTAATATTATAATAAATATCCATTAAGGGATCGGTGGCGGTGACGACTGTCTTTGTCTAACACACGCGTTACATAAGAATTCAGAGGTGTTTTTTGGCAAAAGTACCGATTGATAAAGTGAAGCGATAAGAATTCTGAAAACTGATTTGAATTTGTTGTCAAGTTTACTTTAGATCGGTCAGTCTACATTTTTGATTTTAGATTCTGAGTGAAACGATGAATGTTTTTTTATTTTTTTTTTATTGTTTCACTCAGAATCTAAAATTAAAAATGTAGACTGACCGATCTCAAGTAGACTTGACGACTAATTCAAATCTGTTTTCAGAATTCTTATCGCTTCACTTTATCAATCGGTACGTTTGCCAAAAAACACCTCTGAATTCTTTTGTTTCGCGTGTGTTAGACAAAGACAGTCGTCACCGCCACCGATCCCCTTAAATAATATAATGCCAAATATCGATATCGACAGCCGCATGGGAAGAGACCATTTCCTGGAACTCGTACGCACACGTGCAATAGTAAACGGTGTCAGCGCTATCTTATCGATAGGAGAGAGTGGAGTATAGGCTTATAAAACAGGGATCCAGCTACCCGATATTCAGACGTGATTTATCAGAGCCAGTACAAGCACCTTCACGCCAGTCGACTTTCTGAAGAAATTTCAGTGTTATAAATTATTCTATCAGTTTTACATGCGAAAATAAAATCTATGTTCAAACTATTTAAAATTGACTTGGAAATTATTACACTTTGCCGTCTATCACCATTGTACGTCACCATCTGTAGGCTGGACCACTGCATGATAACTATTATATAGTATGCTAAAATAAATTACTTTAACCACAATAACATCATAAAATATAAATACTTAGTAATATTATAAGCTGACAGATCGTCTTATTCCGAATCATTTTTGATTGATAGAATGTATAGAATGATTTTATATCATTGAATTCAAAGTTAACACATCCATTACCTACAGTAATTCTCTTGACACCTAATGTACAACAGAGCGACACCCACTTACCCGCTTTCTTACATTGCCGTCTTACATAATTATATTATAAAATTAATATAAAATTTGTTTAATTTAATATTATTTAAATTAACTGTTAAATGGGAGCCAACAGACTCACAACCATAAAGTTTACCTACAGATTTTAATAAATAATACATTTGATTAAAATATTGAACGATTTTGTTCTGGGTACAATTACAATGATACGGTAATTTTTAAAAGTGTGTTAATTTTCTTTAAAATCTACAATTTCAGTAAAGTGCTCAACATTGTAAAAAATAACAAAAAACAAATTGTTTAATATTCGAAAATATCATAAACTTAGGAAAATAAAGTTAATGCATTATAAGTTGTAACTTTTTGCCAATATTTAAGAAAAATACGTATTCTTACGATTACAATTACGTACATTGAGAAAAATAAAATATTCTTAAAAACAAGAGTATTAAATTTAATATTTACCTGTATGCTTTTGAGTTTCGAGTATAAACAACCGAACTCATCAACGCATCATGAATAAACGGTACGAAATGGCTGGAATTCAGAATAAAGTAATATACTAAATTCAAAGAAATTGGAAAATACTTATAATATGATATTAATTATTAATAATTAAACGTGGACATAAGATCAGGTTTTATTGTAAGGATTTTTTCCAACTTTTTCCGAATTTCTTCTCGTTGTGTTATCTCAAATAAATGGAAAAATAAAAGCATACATGGCCGGGTATATACACTTACAGTTTCAAGGAATAAAGTATAATGTCAGAGACGATCAACGATCGGTAATAATATGATATTATAATATTTCTATTTTCTAAGTGTAAAATATTATTAAGTAGTAAACAAAAATATTCAAAACTGGACTTGCCTCTCTGTGAATATCTATTTTTAACACTTTCACGTCATGTAGTCCGATAATTGCAGGGGTAATAAAAAAAAATGCATGCATTATTTAAAATACCTTCGGCCAAGTTAATTTGTTTGTATTTCTCAAGTTCACGTATTCGTCAAGTCAACTGCACATTTTATATTTCCTAATGTACAGTTAGTGTTCTACTGCACCTCACAGTAAAGCCTGCATAAGACATATAGATAAGAATAATATTTCACGATGCCATGACGTGATCGTTTCATAGTTTGAAAAATTAATCAAATAATAATTTACATAGCCATCGAGGCTGCAGTCCGACTGTCTCACTTGTTTTATTATTTTACATAATGTGGTTGTTGTTTAAGTACCTACCATCTTGGGTAAATGTTAAGATAACCCACGTCTCAATGATACTACAAGAACTGTGACCATTTATAGCGTGAAACATGAACAATTTTAAAGGTTTACTAGAGTTCACAAATACTGAAATACCGTTTACTATACACTTGTGTATTGAATAGACCAACAAATTATACAACAACAAAACACCTAATATAATAATATGTTATATTATATTGTCTTCAACCTGTTGAAGGATTTGAACCCCTAATAAAATAATATAATACTACCATTACTATTGCTTCGGTTATGACTTATGAGGTTCACTACAATATTATTAGACACACATATGTGACGGTAATAATGCAACAAATAGGCTTACATATACACACACGTATACAGAGCGTAATAGAAATAACCGACTAATGTAATAAATTTATAAACATTTGAGCTATATTTATTATTTTTAGAATACATTATAGGATCTGAGTGGAGCGATGATATCTATTGTTTTGACAACGATGTGTGCACAATTTTTGTCATATTCTGTTTGACTAGCATCAATTTTTCGTCAGATCTATCTGTTACGCCCTTATTTATACATACACTAAATATACTGAAATAAACCGAAATCGTTATGTTTTTTAAATCTATGTTAGCGATACCAAGACTCCAATAAAACTGACAGTTTGACAATTTTTTATGAATTTTATTTTAATTTAATATGTTATGTTATTTGTAAAAATCGTTGGTTTTAATGGTTGAACAGTGTGTCTCCGTTCATTTGGATCTAAATAATTTGTCAATTGTTTATGGGAGGAGAATTTCAACTGCCCCCCCCTCCCCTTGAGAACGCCACCGGGTAGTTACAACAATGTTATTAATTATTATCGTAAACTTTCTATCGTCGTTGGCATGGCGTTTATGCAGCTGCGGACCTGAGATTTAAATGACGGTAGACGGCAGAAAGGTAAAAAGAGGCTTCGTACAAAACTGATCAGCTAGTCGTAACACACTCTAAACATTTTGGAAAACTTTTTCTAAAAAAACGTCTCAGGACGAAATTCAGGTGGAAACCCAGTCGCCATTGGCTGTTATTCAAACCGACACTGCAGTTAACGTCATTTTGGCAGCGTCGTTTTCGTCGTACTGCGCAAGGCTGTCGAGACGCACGCGATCTCCGGCGGCGAAAGGCCGAGGGATGGATATCGATTTTCTAGCCATCTGACGAAACTAAACGGCGTGTGCATGTGGCAAGGAATATTGTTTCCGATGTCATCGCCGAAACGGTAAATAATAATATCTTCCCAGCCAATACGGCATATACGAATAAAAAATTTCACGTTTTTTCGCGGACGAAAGTTATTGCACCTGCGAGACGTTTTCCCGAGAAAATAACTCGGATTTGTGTCTTTATTATTGTAGTCAATGAGTGATTGATAACTTTGCATTTGGAGACGAGCGGAACAAACGCTGTCGTATGATATGGCATGGAAATTGTTGGTTGTCCTTCACAATTTCATTGTATTGGCGCACTGCTGTGAGTATATATATCATATAATATAATTCAAAATAATATATACCGGGTGAATCTTTCATCAATGAACAGCCATTTTTGAAAAAAAATGCACATGGTGTCTAGTCGTTAAAAAACAGTATTTTTATCCACATCATTTTTTAAGTTATTACTTTTTTGAATGACAACATACAGTTTAATTTCATATTCCAAAACAGAATATTTTTCTAGGCGTTTCGGTGCATAAATATCGAATTTACGACAAATAGTTTATTAGTAAGTATTTAAAGTTTAGATGAGTGGAGTAGTGGACCAACATTTTGAGGGGTAAACGCGTATTAACTAATAACATTATATTTTATGTTAATTTAGTATATACATTATACATATTATGTAATGTGGTATTATAAGGTTAATACCTAATTAGTGCGGTGTACCTCAGTATTTGGTAAGTACATTTTAATGTTTGGGTAAGCCGCTTCCCATTAATATTTATTTCCCTACAATGTTTTCTGGTCTAGGTATGTATAGTGTATCAAGGACCAAGGTGTAACAGATAGACCTAATAAAAAAAAAAATTATGCTACCTTAACGTTAGGTACCATGATGGCATGATTATGCCACCCAAAATTGTTTAACAATATAAGAGTAGTAAATAATTTAAGAAATATACTCGTGTCAGCAAATTTCCTAAAATTATGTTTTGAAAAAAGTTATTACGCTCCAAATGAATTTAATCAAAAAAATATTGATATTTTAAAATATTCTAAAAAATAAACTACTCGACTTGGACAAATGTTTTTACCATCAAAATTGTTCTAAAAATAGATTCACAAATTGGCTTTTCGGAACTTATCAAAAAAAAAATATAGTTAAATTTAAATTTTTTTATATTCAGTATTAAAAATAAAAATAATTTTTTCATTATACATGTAGCACAAGTGACTAAATTATATTTTAAAAAAATTCAAAATATTAACTATAACAACAGTTATTGCATTAGTCAGTTCTTTCTGTTACATTCTGCAGTATATACCTAATAATATATCAATATAAAAATGTATTCCCAAAATAATTTTCAATTTTTTTTTATTTATATTTGCTTTTGTCATAGTGGACTGGTCGGGAAAAATCTACCAGACGAACGCGGCTTTAGAAAAAGAAAACCTCATGTTTTGTTACGAGTGCAATACAATGGTAAACGGGAAAAGCTGTAGTGATTTTACAGACAAGGACGATTATTTGAGATTCTCCACGAAATGCACGGGAGATAGAAAAACATGCATGGTAAACAACTATATTATAATATTGTAACCTTAAATTATAATTGGGTGTTGACATTGAGCTGTTTAGGATAACTGACGAATATTAAGACAGTGTGCGTCCGTTCAGATAATCTTTATCAATAGGTATTAAAATGCAATGGAACAATAGCTATTGCCTATCCTAGGTTAATAGGTAGTAGGTACATTCCAAGCACACATATTATTGGCACATTTTTTATTATTGTATCAATAAACTTTGATTAGCAGTGCCATAACTTTACTGAAATTATTGTTTTAATTTTTGATTTGTAAATATTATTGAAACGCTTTTTATGCGTATATACTGTTGTATCTAGGTATATGTGTTTTTATAGTGTGTATTTTGTGAACATTTGTTATAGCCTTTTTGACGGTTACCTCCCACTTCATTGAAATGCCGCGGTTTAATTACGCAAATATAATTTTGTACAGAAGTGCACACGTACAATCCACAGGTAGAATGCTCTGGGTAAGATAAGGATAGATTAACCGCAAAGATGGGTATTAAGTATTCACCAGTTGGTTAATTGTCTAATCAACTTACGAACTTAACTAGTTTAATTGGCAATTAAAATAACTGAGATTTTATCATTTGGTTTAAAAATAATCCATCAAGTTAAAACAACATTTTTAAATTGTTCGTTTTTATGGTTTTATACGTAAATATTAATATTAAAATAAAAATAATCCAATATACTACACGAATAGTGATGTTATTTTTCTTGATAAAATAATTTTGTATAAAAATATAATATTTTAGTAGATTAGATAGGCATAATGATTATAGTACATCGTATATGACCCTGAATTACTACTTGATGCAAAAAAATTGATTTTAGTTAAATTATTGATTGAGATGTGTATAGTTTAAGTATTTAATAAATAATAATAATCATATAAAGTAATACCTGCATTATGCATTCTTTACATTACGATAAAAGTTCAATAAAATTTTTTATTAACATTTAGGCAATTAGAAAGAACGCAGTCACTCTTTATGTGATTCACATACTAATTTAAAAAAGTAGATCAACTTTTTTTAAGCTTAGATAAGTTAATATTTGTTGCCATATTAACTTTTAACTTATCGAGTTTAATCTACGATTTGTTAACTATTAACTTATCGATCTTGTGTTCTCTTAACTTAACTTGAGTAAGTTATTTTCATTAACTTGCCCACCTTTGGGTAATCGGGTGTTTGTGCACATAAATAGCGTATGCTCTTCTGTCCATCCGATTCTCGTTTCTCATCCTTGCATATCAGTGCTTCTCAACCGTTTTTGGTATAGGGCCCCCTAAATTTAATGTAAAACTGTCAAGGCCCCCCTCAATCAGAATCATTAATTATTTTTTCTTAATGAGATACTAAATTCACATGCAATATTTCACACAAATAAATTATTAAAATGTAAAGAAAATAAATGTTTTTTTAATATATTTTTGAAACATGCAATCTTATAGTTGTGTAAAACTTAAAACATATTTAAACAAAAAATAATTGGTAATAACTATAAAGCAATACAAAAATATTCAGTAATAATGTTGATTAGGTTTCAAACAAAGGCTAGGCTAATAATAATAATAATCATAGAAAGTGTGATAGTTATAACTAGTTATTAATATATTAATGTGACGGTTGGGCTTGCATATTTTCGCATAACATATTTATGTCAGGTGTGATGTTTGAAACTGAAATATGCAAGTTAGCTTCTGAAGACTGTTGTGAAATGCATGATCATTTTCGGTAGTTTAATAGATAATTATTATTATTATTATTGTTATTATACTTTAATCAGTAATCTAATGACTCTAATGTAAGATAAACTTTCCCGATGTAATAAATAATAATTAATCATATGATCAGTTGACAGTTATAATATAATGTATACGTTATAACGTTAGGTAAGGTAATAAATATTTAAAGGGCCCCTAGTCATATAGCCACGGCCCCCAGGTTGAGAAGCACTGGTGTATATGACATAATATTATTACCTATTACTGTTAATAACCTAAATGTATAGGTCATTATAATGTGATTATTCAATTATTGTGATACTTTGGTGGTATACCAATTCTTGAAAGCCGACTACATATCGTGATAAACAATCCCTCCTCTCAAAACGAAAAGATCTTATTTAGCTGTTTACCGCTCGTTTTCGACATTACATCTCGTGTACGACCCGGTCGATTATATATTGATAATTTATCGTATATTACAACATAAAATATAAATTGTTTCCTTCTCTTAGACTTAAGCCATTACATCTGTTTTCAAATTATTTGGAGTTCGATCAGTTGTTGAAATGTATATAGAAAGATGTAGCGCAACACATGTTTTTCGACCATTCCAAAACACGTGTTGCGTCCGGTTCGCCAGAAGTCTAGATGATGGTGTTTTTTAATAATCAGTTAGGCCGTCATAATATAGTAACTATTGTAAATGGTCGTTTATTCAACATAAACAAATAAAATGTAAAATATTGTACAAGTCGCGAGCGCGCGCGCGCGTGTGTGTGTGTGTGTGTGTGTGTGTGTGTGTGTGTGTGTGTGTGTGTGAATGACTCAAACGTGCTCAGGATTGAATAGTCTGTGGTTATCTGAATAATAATAACTAGCGGGCTCCCTGCTTTTAAGTGTTGTCCCGTCCCATTGTCTTGAACTAGAGCTCACGGAATTTGCCCTTGTAGGTGTTGTCTTGGAAGTATTGTTTTCATACAACGCAAATATTTATGACTATTTATGGCTTCGAATATTAATTTTTATTGGATTGGCTATTGTTTTACAACTGCTAAATAGTCGTAGAATCATAAAAGAAGGAACCTATTGGCGTATGATTTCTATAATTTACATTAAACCATACACTTTTTATCACTTACATAATATTATCTGGTTAGGATTTATCTTGACAATCACCAATTACTATTATACAAGGATAGTTTTTAAGAACTCGTGATATGTTATGGTATGTTTACTAGCATACGTGAGGCGCATAATTTCATACATTGGCAACCACACTAAGGTCCTACACACACTGCAGCGGTAGCGCTGACGGTAAAATGAGCGCGGCGGCAATGGGGGGTCTAGGACATTTCGCCGCAGACCGTTTCGCCGCAGACCGTTTCGCCGCTGTACCATTTCGCCGCAGACCGTTTCGCCGGCGCACCGTTTCGCCGCGGACTTTTTCGCCGCCGGACATTTCGCCGCGGACTGTTTCGCCGCAACCGATTCGCCGCTGGACTTTTCGCCGTTAAATATACCACCACAACTCGTACCAGAATATAATAGAGATCCAGCAGCGACACCACCAATACGAAATAATTTACAGTGATGCCTCGATAGCGGCACTCGTCGCTACGCTCCTCGGCGCCGTCGCTCCGCTCCGCAAATCGAAAATATCACTCGACTTGCTCAGCAACACCACCTAAAGTTGGTCACAGTGTAACGGCTGTTATACCATAGTATAACCACTCTTATCATTCAAAAGCTTATCACTACCGAAAATGTGGCGGCCAAACGTCCGGCGGCGAAATGTCCGGCGGCGAAAAAGTCCGCGGCGAAACGGTGCGCCGGCGAAACGGTCTGCGGCGAAACGGTCTGCGGCGAAACGGTCACGGCGAATCGGTCGCGGCGAAATGTCCGGGTTCGGGCAATGGGTACCTGTTTATAGTATTATTTTTATTATAATTATTATCGTTGATTAAAAACATAACGTAAAACGTTCATATTTAGTTATGTTGTGTGTTTTAATTTTTTAAATAAATACTATGCTGGGCGCTGGCCAAATAATATGTCTGTTATTAAATTTATTTTAATCGATACAAGAAACCAACCATTATATCTGTTTATTTTTTTATCAATGTTTATAATGTTTTAACTTTGTTAAAAAAAGATTCAAATTATATTCTTCAGTTTTTACTTTCATGAATAATATGTTTGTGTTGGCAATTGGCACCGCCGATTCAAAAGAATTTTACCGCCACCGCTGCAGTATGTCGAATTTATTCTGACAATAACCCTGTGATGTTGTTCTATATACTTATATAGTCGTTTCTAGGAACGCGTAGCTCACATGTTTTATAGTTATATTATGTATTAAACCATTGTGAGGTCAGTTTGTATCCATCTGCAGCACTGCATGATATAATATTATTCTAAAATCGTATTTATCGTGCTATGTACTGACGTCCCGCCATAAAACGCATAGGCTAGATAGCGAGGGGGACATAATATGAGAATTATATGACACATTGGGAAGTTGTCGACCTCGGGGATTTAAGAACAACGACGCAATAAGAAATAGGGTGCGTAGTTCTGAGAATCCGACCACCGAAAGAGCGTTGTGAAAATATAAATAAAAAGAGTTAAAACCATAAATATCTATGGGCATAAATATTATAAATATAATATTATTCTATTTTAATTAAATATCCGTCAGATAATATATCTAATATGTCGGCAGCGATAACCGCATAGGAGGCGACCGTTTCCTGGAAACCATGAACTAAGATATCTTAGTTCATGCCCACGACCACACACACGGGGTCAACGCTATCTCATCGCTAGGAGAAGAGTGGAGAGTAGGCCTATAAAACAGGGACCCATCCACCCGATATTCAGACGTGATTTACCAGAGTCAGTGCGAGCACCTTCACGCCAGTCGACTCTCTGACAAAATTTCAGTGTATTAAAAATAATCTATCAGTTTTACATGACCAAATAAAGTCTATGTTCATAATATTCTACAATTGACTTAGAATTATTTACACCCTGTCATCTCTTGTCTTATACACCACGATCTGTGGGCTGGATCACTACAATCGTATCGATAATTCTTTATAACTTATAAGGCTAATGCTAAGTATAACTGGCGACTCGCTTACCCATATCATAATATTATGAGGCACCGTGATTATAATAAATTATAATCAACTGTAGCGAGCTGTGACTATGATTAATAATTAGTAAATCACTCAGGTAGTTATA